AAGTTCTAGATTGCCTTAAAGAGTCCGGCTCCTGACTTTACCAAAAGAGGGAAAACAGGGCGTCACTGCAGGGCTCGAGCAGCAGGAGGGTCCGGGTCAGATGGGCGTTTGGAAGCATCACTCTGGCTGCCAGCTGGGGAGCAGTTCAGAGCAAGGATGTCAGGGCAGCACCTGCCGTTGGTTCTGAGGTCCAAGAGAGATGAGCTTTTATTATTTTTTATTTTATTTATTTTTTGGTAGCTGCTGAGGGATGAGAGCACACTGGGGACCTAAAGATAAATTGGGGGATCTGGTGGTGGGTGGGATGTGGGTTAGCAAGGGGGAAGGAGAACCCAACAAACTACCTGTAGAGACAGATACTGGTTCCGTCGCTGAGTTAGGGAGCCCTGGACGAAAGTGAGGCCAGAGGGAGAGAAGAGGATGATTTGGCCTCAGCTACAGAATCAACTGCGTACACTGGGTGGAACCAATGCAAATGAAAATGTGGGGCCCCTCGCTCGGTGGTTATTAATTTCAAAACAGTGACAGTAGAGCAAGGGCAGGGTCCTTCCCATGGACTGTGAAAGTCCCACAAGCCTAAGGCCAGCACAGCTAGAATGTGTTCCATTTGAGGCACCACCCATCCAGAGAGCTGAGCAAAGGAAATCTTAGCAGAGAAAGTTCTGGAGTTCAGAGAATCCATGTGTGGCCCCAGACTCAGGGGCCCATCGTTATCCCAGGAGGCCGCACAGACACAGCAGAGGCAGCTGTAGCCTCTGGAGGCCAGGGCTCCAACACCTGACGCCGCGGTACCTGCTAAGCCAAATTTCTCACATGACAAGTTACAGATCAGTGTCCATGCCCTAAGGAAAATCCAAACTGCTTGATTTGGCACCCTAGTTACACAAAGGGGAATTCCACACTGGCTGTCCGGAGATCAGTCCTTCCGCTGTGGTTTCCAGCGTCTGCCAGCCACGATCCTCAGAGGGGACCCAGTACTGTTTGCATAACCCTCGCTCGATTTGACCTAGGGGCCAGCCCCAGCTCGCGCTCCTCCTGGAGGCCTCCCCCAACAGGTCTTTATTCAGAAGCACCCCAGTCACGAGGCCAAAGGCAGAGCAGCCCAAGGAGGACAGCACCTCCCACCCCTGCCCCCGCGGGCCCCCACCCAGCCGCACTTGGGGTGTGGGACACACGTGAGCTCTGTTGCAGCACAGCCGCCAGAGAAGCCTCTGTCCACGGAGCCCAGGAAGGTTATTCAAGGGGATACCAGAAATTTCAAGCTGGCAAAACAGGGTTACACACTAGACGTCCAGGATAAGAAGAAATGAAACTCCCATTATCGGCTTTAAAAAATAACTGCTTACAGCAAATAGGAGCCAGCCCCAAGGGGATTTTTCATTAGGACCGCCCACCGTCTCCTGTTCCCCAGGTGGGCATGGTCACCTTCTCCACCTGCATCAGCCTCTCGCCTGCTCCCTGCTGGCTGAACCCCGGCACAGCAAGTCCGGCTTCCGTGATCTCCCTATTACAGCCCCACAGGGCTCCCAGCCTGGTCCCCACCCTCGAGGCTGAACTGCAGAATTGCAGCACAGCACAGCACAGGGCAACCAAGAAGGCAGCTGCTCCGCTGGGCATGAGGGGATCGGGAAGGTGGATTCCTGCAGAGACAACCCTTCAAAGCCTGCGCACCCGCTCGCCAGCTCTCTCGCGCTCACTCTCTCTCCAGCAGTTCTTGTCTGCCCAACTTCTCTGCATTTGCTGGTGAAATTTACAGCCTGGAGCTTCCCAAAAACACTACTAGAATCTCCTGTGCCTTTGGACTTGGACTTTACCATCTCCCCTCTCTATGACATCGTGTAACTAAGGCCAGGAGGACAAAACGGCAGAAGAAAACAGTGGATGACATCTGAGTGACATGCCCACCCTGGGCTGCCAACCTCTGGACTTGGTGTTGGCTGAAACCAAAGGATAAAATACCTTTCTTTCTTGTAAGCCATACTTAGTCAGGTTTACTTCCATCTTTAGCCGAATAAAGAAATTAGGGGATATTTTGGAGTGGGGGTGGAAGAGGAGAGGTATTTCCCCTCCCACAATCTTCCTTTGATTTCTAAGCATGTCCCTGCTGGAAAATTCAATTAAATTCAATTTAATTGTCAGGCACCTGCTGGGCATCGAGACTTAAAGATTTCAGGCCATTTGCCCCCAAGGAGCTCATAGGCTGCTGAGTGGCATCGGTGTCTTCCTGAGATGCACAGGACCAGGAGGTGCCCAGGCTGTCATCACACCCATCCCTGGGCACTGCTGTCTCACTTCCTTTCTCTGGGAAGGAAGTGAGGGCTCTGCCCTCACACTCAAATCCAAACTCAAGCATGCAGGGGCTGGCATTTGTGTCTCTGATGTGACCTATGGGTTTGGGACTTTTCCCAGTGGATCCTAGTGACTTTCAGATGAATAGATATCTTCAAAGACTTGAGAAGTAGGCGTCATCTGGTTCTTGTTTTGCCAGTACAAGGACACTGGTCTTCATTTTCCTTAGGCGTCCACACCCATCTCCTGACACAGGTAGCAGGAAGTGTGTTGATAGGGAAGGTTGTTTCCAGGGAGTAAATAAGCACTGGCATCAAGGAGCCTACCTACGGTTGTCTCCGAGGAGTTAGATTCTGAAATTTTGAGTTAAGGGTACACTGACTTCAAATCAATGTTGCAAGTATCAGCTATTCAATAAAAGGCTGAAAATTCTCAGCTACGTGTTTGAAAACAAAGAAGTCGGCTAGTAATCTTAACCCTATTTGATGGATGATGGATTAAAGAAAGATACAAAGGGCTTTTACACACTGCCATTCTCCCTGCCAGTGTGTGTGTGTGTGTGTGCGTGTGTGTGTGTGATGTGCGCCTGTCTCACATTGTAAGAAGGAACAACTGGAAGAGGGGCGTGCCTGCTCACTACGCTGCTCTCGCCAGCCCTCTGAGTGCTTGCCTGTGCCCAGCCCAGCTTCCTCAGTGCTGCACCCTCTGTTTTGGCCGGGCTCACGAGACGGTGCCTCTGGCACCTTCTGTGGGCCATACTCGGTACTAGGTACCAGGTCCACAGAGACGCATAAAACAAAATCCCACTGGGGAGTTCACAGCTGATTGGGCAAGAAGAAGGAGTAGACACGGATGACAGCCATATAAGAGTGTAGATTTCACAGTGAAGAAACAAAAGTAGGAGGGCTCTGTGCTGCCTGGGTCAGGGAGGAGCTCACAGCCTCACTGGCGTTCAACCCCTCTGGCCTGTGCCGGTCTGCCGTGCTGCGTGTGCACCTGCAACACCCAGCCCAGACAGGGGCCAGGGCCTGCCCTGTGGGCTGAAGCAGACACAGCTCAAAAAACCCAGAGCCAAGAGGGAAGGGACAGGAAGCCCAGGACTCACTGCTCCTCATTCCAGTAAGTCTGGCAAGAACAGCAATTCCCGAGTTAGCGCCATTCCAGTTTCTAAAAGGGTCTCTCTTCCTTCACAACTCTTTGGTTTCTGCATTGACACTCCCCGAAGGGTTGGGAGGGGTCCCTGGGTCCCAACGCACAGGTCACCAGGGTAGGTATATCCACAAGGTGGCCCTGGGCTCTCTCGTCCTCCCTCCCTCCCCCTCACCCACACTGGCTGGGCCCGGGGTCTGCCCCTTTCCTCTGGCGTGGCAGCCTCTCCAACCCAGCAGTCTCAGAACCTGGAGCCACAGGAGATGTCCCAGCGCTGGTCAGGAAGGGGAGGGCCACTCGCTACTTAAGCCCAAAGCAGCAGGGCAGCAACTTGCGCCCCTCTGTGACAGGTGGAAGATACAGCGAGGACAAGTGACCTGCCGTGGGCATACAGCAACAGACCTAGGCCCCTGCCCCAGGCCAGCACTCTTCCCACTGACTGTCTGAACTGGGTAGGGCCAAAGGCCCTATGGAAAGAAGCAGTCAAGGTCCCAGCAAAGAACCCCAGAGACTTTCCCGGGATCTGAACAAGTCCTGACTACCAAGGCTTCTTTGGGAAGGGGCAAAGATAGGCAAGGTGGGGGAGAAGAGGCCAGCTGCCCAGCCTCCATGGAATCCTGACTCATTTTCCTGGTCACCTCTGCTTCTTCCTCCCTACCTTTCAAGCTTGAGCCTCCAGCCAAAGACAGTTACAACCATAAAGGACGCCTAGGGAATGCTTAACTACACCTTCCTTCCTGCACAGGGGGCACATTGCACCCACGGACACTTGTGCAGATTACGTAACAGCCTTGGTTCACTCACCATCAAATGGACTAAGGTCCACACTAAAGGCCCCGGCTGGCATGGGATCAGTAGTCAGGAAGTGTGGAATACTCTTAGAACTTCCCCAAGTACTGGGACACCTGATGAGGTGGAAACAGGGGCTCTAGAATCTCAGAAGAGCCAGGGCTACGGAAGGAGCTAGAGCCACCCCTGACCTCACCTGTCCCTTAGGAAACCAAGCTCTTTGAACATTTGATCTTCACTTGGGGAAACTGAGGCCCAGGGGGCTAAGGTGACTTGTCAAGTCAGCAAGGAGAAATCTGGAATAGTCAACCCAGGTTGGGTGGGGGGAACCCGATTATTTCTCAATGCCAGCGTCTTGAACAGGCAACTTACGCACGTCACTGTGACCTAGGAACATGCTAGTGGAACCCACAGCTGTTCTCCCCAGGAAATCAACTGTTTCAAATGAGACGCTGAAAATTACTTTAAAAAAAGAGAGAGAGGTAGCCAATCCTAAAAATAGCTGTAATGCAGAAGTTCAACTTCAACCAGTCCTTTTGCTTACAATGCAAAAATTGAAAACTTTAAGTTCAACCAATGCAAACTTGGAGAGATCTAGAGGAGGGAGGAGCTCTAATCAGAACCTTTGCCAGGAAATCTGTGACTGTGACACTGTGAGTGAGGAGCCTCACAAATATAAAGGGGGACAAGGGTGTGAAGGTCCACACATCAGGGGCTTGCTCTTGCAAAAGCAAACCACAAGGCGGACTCGTAGAAGCAGGCAGAGTTCCACCATGCTCAGCTCAGCTCTGCTATGTTGCCTGGTCTTCCTGGGTGGGACAGGGGCCAGCCGAGGCCAGGACACCCCTGCTGAGAACAGCTGCATTCACTTTCCAGGCGGCCTGCCCCACATGCTCCGCGAGCTCCGTGCTGCCTTTGGCAGGGTGAAGACTTTCTTTGTGAGTATGATGCCCTCCTGTCCTTTGTCTCTTCCTGGGGCTGCCTGAACTAGGCTTTCTGCAGGGGCCAGAAGAAGAACCATCTCCCCTCTTTCTCCTCCTCCAGCACCCAGTCCCCTCAAACTTGAATTCTTCAGACAGTCCTAGGTCAAGCCGTGGGTTCAGGGAGTTCAGATAAGTCCAGGTGATGCCACAAATGTGCATGAAAAGCTGAGCCTACATGGTGAATGGACCATCTCTTCTATGCTCAGAACTTTTTCTAGGATTCTGCTGGAGTCCAGTTCTGTGTTGACTGGGAGAAATCGAGGCTGTGATTGGAGGTGGAGTTGTTCTCCAGGGAGAACATCATTGCCTCTCCTCCCAAGGTTCCCGACCTGAGGGGCTGATGGCATGGGGAGCAGCATTCGGGGAGGAAATCCATGTTAGCTGGGGGGGCTTCCTGCTGCCAGAGACCTTTCAGGGTTGGAGCTGGGTGTCCACAGAGCGGAGAAGGAACAGAAGCAGCAGGACCTGAGAGGGACTCAGGGCACTAGGGGCTGACATAGGTGGCCCTCCAGAGCCTCAGGTGGCTCTGCTGCAGGAAGCAGATGGGGACAGAGGCAAAGCTTTGGAGGGAAAAAATTATATATATATATATGTATATGTGTGTGTGTGTATATATATATATATATATATATATATATATATCTCACTTGATTTCCAAGGGAGAGGACCTGATTTAACGAATGGCTCCAGCACTATGGATTCCTGATTTTTAAAACTCTCTATTTCGGAGCTAGCTACCTTGATTAACAATCAAAACGCCTGCAACACAAAAGGGCATCAGCCAGGCACGCATGTCCGGTCTCTTTCTAAACCTCGGGTTCACTCTCCTTTGGCTCTCCTTGCAGCAATCGAAGGATCAGCTGAACAGCATGTTGTTAACCGAGTCCCTGCTGGAGGACCTTAAGGTGAGAGGCGGGGGTGGGGTGGGGAGGAGAGTGCAGCATGATTAAGGGAAGGGAGGCGCTGCGGGGGAGCGGGGTTTGCTTCCTTCGCTCGCAAAAGGAGAAGTCAAAGATCTTAACTCAGCACTCAGCCGGAGGGTTACAAAGGACTAGGCCCCAGGGACAAAGCTGTGTTCTCAAGGGGTAGCGTCGCGTCAGCCCTTCCTCCCGCTCACCTACCGCCTTGGCTGCTGCCCGTAGGGTTACCTGGGATGCCAAGCCTTGTCGGAGATGATCCAGTTTTACCTGAAGGACGTGATGCCGCAAGCTGAGAACCACAGTCCAGCCATCAGGGAGCACGTGAACTCCCTGGGGGAAAACCTGAAGACCCTCAGGCTGAGGCTGCGGCAATGTGTGAGTAGCAGACGCTTCTCCCCAGGCGGCCGCCTCCTGCCGCCCCGGGGCGCACGGGCACAGGCAGGCAGGCAGGCTGGCTGTGAGTTGGAAGGGTGCAAGGCAAGCCTGGGGTATGAGCTCTTGCTCATTTCTCTCCCAGAGGGGGTGGGGGCAGCTGCTGGGCATTTACATGTGAAGATATGCAAGCAGCTTTCCTGTTATTTGTGAGTCATTTGTGGCTTATTAACTACTCCCCTCTCTCCTCCCGAAAGTGGCTTGGAGCTTCAGTCGGGGCTCCTGGGGTACTGTTGGACCCACGCCTTGGACGGGGAGCTGAGACTCCCAGCTCACCTCTTATTCTTGGACCCTGCAAGCCAAGCTCCAAGTGGGGCAGACTGGCTGGCAGGATTTCCCTGGTGTTCCAGAAGGGCCAGGGCAACCGGTGTCCCCAGGCTGGCATCAGGAATAATTCTTCCAGATAACTTATTTCTCCCACTGAAATGGTACCCTCGCCCCAAACAGTCTCCTTCGGTCTCTCACTGATGCTAGACAGGACGGACGGAGAGCTAGGTGAAGGGCTCGGTGCCCCAGGTGTGACTGTGTTTCCAATTCCTGAGCGCCTAGAAGCAGTCCTTGGCGGCTGAGACTGAGAGTCAGGAAAGGGCCCGACTCCACTGTGCCCCCTCTGCAGCCCAGCAGACTCTGGGAGGGCTCTGCAGGAGGAGCCCAGCCCTGGGTCCTACCCCAGCCTGGCAAACACCTGAGCCCCTCCTACGGCAACAGCTCCGCTCCAGGGACTCAGCCCTGTTGTCCCCGGGAGCTTTGACAGTGGGCTCTTCTCAGGGTACATCTGGCCAGCCGGGGTCCGGGAGCTTTGACAGTGGGCTCTTCTCAGGGTACATCTGGCCAGCCGGGTCCGTCAGGGGCTGACAGCCAAGGTCATTAACACTTAATCTTTTCTTCCCCAGCACCGATTTCTCCCCTGTGAAAACAAGAGCAAGGCAGTGGAGCAGGTGAAGAGCGCCTTCAGCAAGGTGAGCCTGGGCAGGTGATGCCCCGGGTGCTGCAGGGAGTCGCCGGCCCCAGGCAGTGTGGGAACCCGGCAGTGTCACTGCTTCAGGCAGCAGGGAGCATTTGTTTTCTGTGAAGTGTCTTTGGGGGTTTCTAAATGACTGCTCCCCGCCTTGGCAGGCCTGCGGGGCGGGCCGACCAGGCAGTCTGAACCCCGGGAGCCAGCCAGCAGCTGGGGAGAGTGACAAAGGAAACAGAAAGTACAGAAAGTACCTCGTTGAGACTCGGGGCTGAACCCACACGTGCAGAAAGCTGACACGTGACTGTGCACATCCAAGTAGATGTGGGGCTCAGCCTGGACTCCCCAAACTCAGAGCGGGCAGGGAGCAGAACATCCCCGTGCCTGGAGGGGCCTTGAGTCGCTTTCCATCTGTCTGTCACACTTGCTGGGGTGCTGAGAATGTCAACTTCCAGCCCTCAAGGGGCTCCACCCCTCCAGCAGCCCCTTGCTGCTTCAGCCCTGCTTCCCAGAGGCTGTGTCCTGTGTTCCCGTGGTGGCCTGGGGACAGACTCTGGGCTGGTGCCATCCTCAGGGGGCATGGGCCCCCTGACAGTAAGCCAGGGCAGCAGGGCAGGGCCTGCTCCGTCCATGGGTGAGAGAGCACAGATTTTCAACGGGCCCCTTCCCTCCTCCTTTCTGTCTTGTCTTCAAAACGCTTCCTCTAATATCTTTGCATCAAATGCTGCATAAGCAGGCAGCGTGCGGATGCGTGACCTTTAAAACTGTTGAACAGGCACCACGCCAAAGCTCTGCTTTGCCAGGCGACTGTGCCTCTTGCCACCTGCCAGCAGTGCTGCTGGCTGGGAGGAGATGCAGGCCAGTGCACAGCCTCCCCCAACACAGCTGGGCTTGGGTTCCCAGGCTCTGACCTTCCCCTCCACCCAGGGCCATGCCCCTCGGAGTGAAGATGCTTAGAAGAGGTTTTAACAAAGTGACTCTCACCTTCCCCCACAGCTGCAAGAGGAAGGCGTCTACAAAGCCATGAGTGAGTTTGACATCTTCATCAACTACATAGAAACCTACATGACAATGAAGATAAAAAGCTAAAAGCCCCAGGATGGCAACTCGGCTAGAGTCTAGGACATCAGTTAGGGACCTGCACACCCTGGGTCAGCTGACCCAGCACCTTGGAAAGCTGTTGTACCTCTCAATATTTATTACCTCTGATACCTCAGCTCCCGATCCTATTTATTTACCGAGCTTCTCTGTGAACTCTTTAGAAAGAAGCCCACTATTATAATTTTTTCAGTATTTATTATTTTCACCTGCATTTAAGCTGTTCCCATGGGGTGATGCCCTGTGGGATTTGAGTGTCTTAGGAGAAATTATAATTTATGTGAAAGGGAAAAATGTGCCTTGGGGAGCCGACTGAGGCTTCCATTCCTTCTGTGCCTGACCACACTTTCTAACTCCTAAGCCGAGCTCCCTCTTACCCTCTGGAGCCCGGACCTGGGCTCTCCGAGTGTTCCAGAGACTCCTAGCCTCTTAGGAAGAGAGACCCGGAAGCCCCTTGGGTGGTGACCCTTCCGGCAGCTCAGAGGGAGGCTCCTGACCTCGATCTTCAACCCCTTATTTATAACACCCTCAAGTTGGTTCTAATAGAACTCAGTTTTAACTAAAAGTGATTCAATTCCTCTGGGAATGTTATATTGTTTGTCTGTCTTCTCAGCAGATTTTACTTTTAAATAAACAAATGGAGCTCATCCAAGTCATGTAATGGTGTCTGTTGCCTCTTATCTGACTCAGAATGGGTGGCGGAATTTTGCAGTCCAAAGAAAGGCAGCCAGCTCCCCTGACCAGGAGACAGAGGGGCTCCAACCTGCGTGCACAGGAAAAGCTCTTCTCACTTCCAGAGCCAAGAGCAAAGACCACCCAGGTCTTCTCATCGCTCAATTCTTTAAGGATTTCTCCCTGAGTCCCTAAAGACTGAGCTGACTGACAAGGCTAAGGGGGAGCTTCTGTACGTACCACAGTCAGAGAGTCGGGCAGGGGGAGTTTTCTAGTGTTTTTGTACTTGCTGAAGCTCCAGGGCTCCAGGGGGTGACGCTGGCTCGCCCGGGGCATGTGGGTGTGAAGACAACGCCAACCGTTGTCTTGGCACGTACGGCTGGTTCTTTTCAGTGATCCCAACTTAACACTCCTACCAAATCCTCTCTGAGCTTCAGTCAGGGGCAAGAGAGCAGGGCTGGACCCGACAGAGCAGAATACAAGCGAATTAGTCCGCTGGCTGGGATACCAGGGACCAGACCGCCACTCTTTCTGTCCCCGCCCTGAGCTATCAGACGAGTGTGAGGTTGGCTTCAGGCTGCGGTCTGTTGGGAGGGGCATGGCGGCTGGGGAAGCCCTACTCGAGGCCCCGTGACTTAGGGGAGAGAAGGGGAAAGAGTGGGCTGAGTAAATGCTCCCCTTACGTCCTGCCCAGGCAGCCCTAGCCCAGGGGAGGCTGGGAGCTGACTGATTGTGGTCACTTTTTCGGTAAGACCTGACTCACTTCGGTTAAAGTAACCATAGGAAGGAAGTGGGACGCATCAAAGCTGAAATTCTGAGATGAAAGGTTAAGAATGGAGACTGGTGGGAGGCGAGGAGAGAGGCCTGAAGCTGCCTATGCTGAGCTAAAGAAGTCATGAGTAGTGCCTTGGCCTGCGAGAAGGTTCGGGAAGGCGGGGCTTCCTGCCAGGCAGGAGGCGATGAGATTGGCATCACCTGGACAAGCTGTAGAGCCAATAAGGTGTCAGCAACAGCTACAACTGATTGGGCACTAGCGATATACATATCTGTCATACCTCATAGGAGTATTTCAAAAAGTTCATGGAAAATGGAATTTAAAAATAAGTTTATTTTAGTGTAAAGAATTAAAATCCATACACAGCTTTTTTCATTATACTCATTTCCCATGAACTTTTTGAAGAATCCTATTGTGGCCTTATTATTGCTATTTTTTGTAACAGTGATTATTATTCCTATATTTCTGTAAGCTAAGAAATGTGACTTTTTTATTCAGTATTATATTTGCTTTATTAGGGTTCAATAACAACTTGCTATCAGTCACATTTGAAGTTCAAGCTTTTTGGATGACTCTATTAATCCATGAATTGATCATCTATTAACCCTGGGGAATACATAGGCTCGGTGTGTCCTCCCAGTCATCTCTTTATGCATATCTGTGTTTCAGTACACGTGCTATTTATGCTAGTAATAATACAAACATGGACTAAAGTTGTTTGTCAAATACTTTGCCAAGTACTTGCTCTATATTAGTTCATATGTTATGTAAAGCTATGAAGTATGAACTATTAATAGCTCCATGTATCATATAATGAAAATGAGGCCCAGAAAAGTTATGTAGTTTATCTTTAGTAATATAGCTATTAAATGAGAGTTCATGATCTCAAGGATTATGATAACTTATATATCATATGCAGTGACTGTATAATTCCCTTTTTTTTCAGAATTTATTTATTTATTTTTGTTTATTTGAAAGGCAGAGCAAGAGAATCTTCCATCCACTGGTTCACTCCTCAAATACCTGTAAAAACTGGAGCTGGGCCATGTAGAAGCCAGGAGAACTCCATCCGGGTCTCCCGTACGGGTAGCATGGACTGAAGTTCTTGGACCGTCATCTCTGCCTCCCTGGGTGTGCATTAGCAAAAAGCTGGATTGGAAGCCAAGGCAGGATTCCCCCCAGGCACTCTGATATGGGATACAGGCACCCCAAGCAACGGCTTAGCCCACTGCCACACACACCCACACCCATTATTCTTTTCTAATGCCATTTTTATGACTCATTAAAATTTGAGATACTGCTTTCAGTCTGCTGTGTGTCCATTTTCATTTGTCCAAAGACATTTTTCATTTCTCTTCTTCTTTTGATCCGTTGGTCATTCAGAAACAGGAGAAATATTGGTAAGTTGAACCAGCCATAGAGAATGGAAAGTTGATGACTGCGTAAGACAACTTTTCCTTTGTATTAGTTAGCCATTGCTGCACCCCAAACTTAGCCACTCACACCAAGAAACATTACTATCTCACCATTTCAGTAGGTCATAGCCTGAGGCTGAAGACAAGGACTCTGGCTCAAGATCTCAAAGGAGTCTGCAGGCGGTTGAAGGCTTCAGTGGGGCACCGGACTCATGCCTCAGAGGGCTCACTCACATGACAATTGGCAGGGGGCCGTGGGTCCTTGCCACCTGAGCCTCTCCACACGGCTCCTTGAGCATCCTCCCAACATGGCCGCCATCCTCCCTGGAGCCAATGATCCAAGAGAGAATAAGGAGGAAGTGAGTGTACCTTGGAGGACCATCACTTCTACTTGTTAGAAGCAGGCCAGTACAGCCCATGTTCAAGGGAAGGGAAACCAGATTCTGTTAGGTAGGAAGTCAAATATGAGCTTATGTGTGTGTGACATAAAGGCCTAAAGAAAAAACATCTAAAAAAAAAAAAAAAAGAAGAAGAAGAAGAAGAAGAAGAAGAAAAAGAAAAGAAAAGACATCTATGTCCAGCATATGCAGCTGCATCTCAAAGTCATCCCAATAAAAGTTTCAGGGGCAGCCCAGTGTTCGCATCCTGACTGCCCTCTCCTACCCAATAACCTGCCAGGTGGGGGTCCCTGCCTCTTCTGCCTGATAACCTTCCAGATGAGCCCAGTATCTGCATTTCAAATACCCTGCTCTGGATCCCCATTCTCCAGGGGGTCCTGCTCACCCTTCCTCTGAACCCAGGATGGCACCAGCTAGGCTTCCTCCTGTCTGATACCTTCAGGGGAAAACTCAGATAGAAGCTTCTTAATATCTACATCCATAAAATCCTTTGTTTCAGGAGGAGATGTGTGAAGACAAAAACCTATCTCCTTAAACCCTCCCCCCACCGGCCTCAACCGGACTGCGCGCTCAGCCCTCTGCCTCTCCGCTGAGCCGCCCGCTGGCCTGCCCAGGTGTAATCTCTCCACTCAACCATGTAACCTTGCCCCCCCCCCCAGTCCGAGCGACTGGGCACTCTCCCTCAGGCTCTGTCTGGAGAGGTGCCCATCCATCCTTAAGGATGTCCCTTCCCTAATAAACCTTGCTATTTTACCTCCCACTACTCTGTCTTACGCCTGAAATCTTTCCTGCGCGAAGACAAGAACCCTGCCATTCTCCGGTAACACTTAGCCCAGTAGTTAAGATGTCCACACAACACATTGGAGCAGCTGGGTTTGATTCCCATGTCAGTCTGGTGACTCCAGACTGCCAGTGCAGCCCCTGGGAGGCAGTGGTGATTGCTCAGGTAATGGAGTTCCTGCCTCCCACGTGAGACTCCTGGACTAGGATCCTGGCTCCAGGCGTCCACCTCTGCCGTCCCTGGCCATGTGAGTATCTAGGGAGTGAACCAGCAGATGGGAGCTCTTATTCTCTCTCTCTCTCTCTCTCTCTCTCTCTCATATAAACAAATAATAAATAAGAAGAAAATAAAATTTAAAGATTCTTCCCAGGTCCTACAGCCTGTTTGTGTCCCCCACCCCAGCTGTCAATACTGAAAGCCTAACTCTCAAAGTGATGATATCTCAAAGAGGGCCCCTCAGTGGGAGATCGGGGTTTGACAAGGTCGTGAGGGCAGAGGCCTTGTGATGGACCCAGCACCCTTAGGAGAAGAGAGCTTACTCTCTCCTCTTCACCCCTTAAATGCACTCAAAGAAGAGGCCAGATGAGCAACCCACCTCCATATGGCCGAGGGAAGAAGACTCAGTGGGAAACCTGCCTGGCCTGCCTGGAGCTCACACTTCCCAGCCTGCAGAACCAGCATACAATGAGTTTCTGTTTACCTCCTCCAGGCTATGGTGGTGTCTGATGGGACCAGGGATACCGGCCAAAGGCATTCTCAGGTATGAGCTATACATGCATTCTGGAAAGAGCACAGAATGAGGTGTGGCTGGGAATTCGTGGGGAGGAGATGGCAAGGAACCTTTGTTCTCTGAGAAGAGAAACCACCCCCTCTCCTCCCAGGCCTGCTCTGCCCCTCCCAGCCTAGTGTATGACAGGGAGAAGGCGGATCTCTAAGGTGAGGGGTGTGGGACCAAGGAGGGAAGCTCCTGGCATTTGTGACAATGATGTAGAGCCATGCACAGAGAGACAGCAAACAGGTTTTTCCCCCTGGAAGTGAGGCACAATCCAGAAGGAAGAGGCTAAGACTGGAGAGGAAGAAAAGAGAAGGCTCAGGAAGAGACGCCAGGCTCCCCACTCAGAACACCTGCCAGGGTGGTCTCATGGGGACCCCTTGGGGGAAAGCAGATGTGACCCTCCCAGGAAGTAGGATCTGGGTCATAAGGATATAAACCCAGGACCTAAAACAGCGGGAGGATCTTGGCAGTTTCACAACCTGCAGAGCTGTCTCCAGAGTAAGCCAGCGAGCTCTCAGTCTCTGAGGGGCCTGTGGGTACCAGGTGACTTGTGGGGTCCGCGATCTTCTTAGGCGCTAGCTCACTGGATGCCTTGGAGATCTTACTGAGCCTGCCTGGGACTCCGTTTTCGCATTGATAAAATAAGGCAGCGGGTCTGAAAACGGCTTCCAGCCTGGGGTTACTAGAGGGAAGGCACTTGCGGCTGTCTCGTGACAACTTCCAAAATATGAAAAAGTCTAATGAAAATCGCCCATTTCCCATCGCCTCCCCGCTACGTCTGCACAGACTCATTGAAAAGCACTTCCAGGCCGGCGCCATGGCTCACTAGGATAATCCTCTGCTTGTGGCGCCGGCACCGTGGGTTCTAGTCCCTGTCGGGGCTCCGGATTCTGTCCCGGTTGCTCCTCTTCCAGTCCAGCTCTCTGCTGTGGCCAGGGAGTGTAGTGGAGGATGGCCCAAGTGCTTGGGCCCTGCACCCGCATGGGAGACCAGGAGGAAGCACCTGGCTCCTGGCTTCGGATCCATGTAGTGCACCGGCTATAGCGGCCACCTGGGGGGTGAACCAATGGAAGGAAGACCTTTCTGTCTCTCTCTCTCTCACTGTCTAACTCTGCCTGTCGAAGGAAGGAAGGAAGGAAGGAAGGAAGGAAGGAAGGAAGGAAGGAAGGGAGGGAGGGAGGGAGGGAGGGAGGGAGGGAGAGAGAGAGAGAGAAAGAAAGGAAGGAAGGAAGGAAGGAAGGAAGGAAGGAAGGAAGGAAGGAAGGAAGGAAGGAAGACACTCTGGCTGGCTGGCTGGAGTCCAATCCGCTCGTGGAAAGACAAGTTGCCTCACGCTGATGCCGTTCTTTCTCTCGAGAAATTCTAGACAGCCAAAATATTTTGTAATGCGTTGCAAGTTTGTAGGGATTTATTTGAGAGACAGGGGGCCCCTGTTCGCTTTTTCACTCCCCAAATGCTTGCAACATCTGGAGAGCCAGAAACTCACACCAGGTCTCCTGCGTGGGTGCCAGGAGCGCAGTTCCTTGTGCTGCCACCCAGGGATCTGCATTAGCAGGAAGGTGGAATCCGGAACTGAAACCAGGAGGCAAACCTAGGTGCTCCCTGATAGGACGTGGGCATCTTTACTGCTAGGCTGAACGCCCACTTTCCAAAACAGCTTACAATAGTCAGGCTGGACACGAATAGCGTGGTGAAGGCTGCAGAGCAACTCAGTTCGATGAGCTGATGCTCTGTTCAAGCCCCCAGCCTCTGACTCCCTCCGCCAGCCAGCCCATTCCCACCGGCCCTCCTGGGGACCCACCCCTGTCTGCAGTCTGCACAGGTAACTTTCCAGACAGCGTCCCAGCCACCTGTGTATCACCCACAGCTCCTCCCTCCCGGCAGCCTTGAGCAGCCAAGGTGCACAGAGCTTCCAGAGCCTCCCTGGCCCCCTGGCTGCAGAAGACACAGAGAGATCCGAGTCCGGGGGGAAGAAGCACAACTCAGCTCTCTCTGCACAGCCCGGGGGCCTTGCCCAGCCTCCAGAGGCTGAAGCACCTTAGCTCTAGCCCCGGGCTTTCCACTCACCTGCAGCTGCATGGCCGTGGGTCGTTGCTACCTCACTAGTCTCCTCTGTGACACGGAGGACCATTATTCCTGGTAAGGAATTGTGGCGAGAAAGCCTCATACGGCACGAATGTGTGTGATGCTCCCAGCACAGCGTAAATACTCCCTGAGAACACCTCCACTAGACGTCGGAGGGATTGCTTACATGGGACCAGGTGGAAAGACAGGTGTTGTGACCGTGAGAAAGAACAGGGCATACTTTGTACACCGCTGGGACTTTCCTTCCAAGGCCTCCTCTCCCTCCGCCCCATTTCTGGGTGGAAGGAGAAGGGGGCTCAGCCCTCTCTTTGGGAGGGAAAGGGAAACGCATTGTTTTTGTTTTGTTTTGAACTCTGATTTCAATTTCGTGATTTGGCCTCAGGAATGCTTGGCGCGGTAAAGAAATCTACATGAATTATAGCCAGTTAGAGTTGCATAAATCCAGTAACCTGCTAACATAGATGGTTCACTGTTATTTGAGCGATGGTTACACACGCCATTAAATAGAAGCTAGATTAACTGAGCCGAAAGCTTTATCTGACGACGAAACTGAACTTTGTTCAGAGGTCCTCATTCTCCAACATTGTTTTGCATGATAAGAATCTAAACTATGGCTGGTGCCACGGCTCAATAGGCTAATCCTCCACCTGCAGCACCGGCACACAGGGTTCTAGTCCGGGTCTGGGCACTGGATTCTGTCCCGGTTGCTCCTCTTCCAGTCCAGCTCTCTGCTGTGGTCCGGGAGTGCAGTGGAGGATGGCCCAAGTGCTTGGGCCCTGCGCCCCATGGGAGACCAGGAGAAGCACCTGGCTCCTGGCTTCAGATCAGCGCAGTGCACAGGCCACAACAGCCATTGAGGGGTGAACCAATGGAAAAGGAAGACCTTTCTCTCGGTCTCTCTCTCCCTCACTGTCCACTCTGCCTGTCAAAAAAAAAAAGAATCTAAACTATGACCATTCGAATTACTACTCTGATCTTTCCTTCATACATTGTTTGAAAAAAAAAAAAAAAAAGAGGGGGGGAGGGAAAGCCGTTTTGCAAGATCACGGAGACATTTTGTAACAGAGCTCGGCACTCACTCAGAATGCAACCCAGGATCCCACGCCCATTTGAAGAGTTCCTGGATTACTTAGAGGAGGGGGTTGTCACTTTCCCGGCCTGATCCTGCCATGGCCTCTACCAGGACTGAACTGTGGCTGATGTGCCAGATGAAATCATTCATCTGATCCCTTACATCATAATCTTTACACGCGGGTCCCTCGAAGTCGAGACCGAAATCAAACCAGAGGCAGGCCGACTTCTCCTTGACCTTTGCCCCAATTCAGAACTTTTAGGAGACAAATATTTGTCTATTTGGGACCCATGAAGCTCTAGGTCTTATATCGGGGGCTGAAGAAAAGGCCAAAAATAAGGCAGCCATTGATCCTGCCCTCGCAGGAAGCAGACATGATAAAGTTAGCTGCACCCTTTTATTATGATGGTGATGGTCTCCAGTACTAAGAAGTGGGAGGTTTAGCAAAGCAAGTAACCTGGCCCCAGGTCAGGGCAGGCTTCCCCCAAAAAGTGTCTTCCGGCCTGGATGAAGGGTGGATGGGAGCTGGCCAAGTGAAGAAGGAAGTGACAGAAGGCAGAGTGAAATGCACATTTAAAGACACTTAGAGGGGGCCGGCACATAGCTCACTTGGTTAACCTTCCTCCTGTGGCACCAGAATCCCATATGGGCACCAGGTTCTAGTCCCGGTTGTTCCTTTTCTAGTCCAGCTCTCTGCTGTGGCCCGGGAAGGCAGTGGAGGATGGCCCAAATGCTTGGGCCCCTACACCGGCATGGGAGACCAGGAGGACGCACCTGGCTCCTGGCTTTGGATCAGCGTAGTTCCGGCTGTAGTGGCCATTTGGGGGGTGAACCAACGGAAGGAAAACCTTTCTCTCTCTCTCTCACTGTCTAACTCTATCTGTCAAATAAACAAGAAAAAAAAAAAGACACTTAGAACTCAAACCGTGGCCAGTGGGGCGGGGTGGGGCAGGGGCTGTGTCTGCAAAGTGCGGCTACATTTCCTCCGATTCACAGCAGAGCTGGACTCAGGGCCCTCTGGCTTCTCCATCCTGTCTCATAGAACTTAAACTGTTTAAGGAATCAAACGATGAATCACAGAGAGCCAATGGTTTTTTTTTTTTTTTTTAAGATTTATTTTTATTTATTTGAAGGAGTTACAGAGAGAAGAGAGACAGAGAGAGAGGTCTTCCATCTGCTGGTCCATTCCCCAGATGGCTGCAATGGCCAGAGCTGCACTGATCCAAAGCCAGGAGCCAGGAGCTTCCTCCGGGTCCCCCATGTGGGTGCAGGGGCCCAAGGACCTGGGCCATCTTCAACTGCTATCCCAGGCCATAGCAGAGAGCTGGATCAGAAGAGGAGCAGCCAGGACTCAAACTGGCGCCCATATGGGATGCTGGCGCTTCAGGCCAGGGCTTTAACCCGCTGCGCCACAGCACCAGCCCCATTGAATGGTATTTTTTGTGGGGTGGGCATGGGGGAAGTGTTAAAGATGAGTTCAGAGTGGGGCCAGCACTGTGGTACAGTGGGTTAAGTCGCTGCTTGTGATTCCAGCGTCCTATATCAAAGTGCCAGTTCGAGTCCCAGCTGCCCCACTTCAGATCCAACTTCCTACTGATGCACCTAGGAAGGCAACAGATAATGACCTGGGTGCTTGGGCCCTTACAGCCCACACAGGAGACCAGGATGGAGTTCCAAGCTCCTGGCTTCTGCCTGGCCCAGACCTGGCTGTGGCTGTGGCAGTCTCTGGGGAGTAAACCAGAGGATGGAAGATTCTCATTCTCTCTCTCTCTCTCTCTCTCTCTCTCTCTCTCTCTCTCCTTCTGTCACTGTACCTTTAGAATAAATAAATAAATAGATGAGCCTGGAGAGATGAGCAAGGACTGAATCATTCGGGGATGGGAGACCATGGCAGAAGTTTCAGACTGTATAGGCAAGGGGAAGCTGCTGGAAGTTGTGTTGGAGAGGAGAGCGTACACCTTCTCAGTGAGACCATCTAAGTGCCCTGTGCTTCCAGGCCAGACAGAAGGAAGCTGTAGAGTGAACAAAGGTGGCAATAAAGAGGAACTGAGGGGCCGGCACCGTGGCTCACTTGGTTAATCCTCCAGCTGTGGCGCCGGCATCCCATATGCGTGGCGGGTTCTAGTCCTGGTTGCTCCTCTTCCAGTCCAGCTCTCTGCTGGGGCCCGGGAAGGCAGTGGAGGATGGCCCAGGTGCTTGGGCCCCTGCACCGGCATGGGAGACCAGGAAGAAGCACCTGCCTCCTGGCTTCGGATCAGTGTAGCTCCAACTGTAACGGCCATTTGGGGGGTGAACCAACGGAAGGAAGACCTTTCTCTCTGTCTCTTTCACTGTCTAACTATCTGTCAAATAAAAAAAAAAAATCAAAAAAGAGGAACTGAGAGAAGGTGAGGGTAGACACTCAGCAGCTGCTTAGGGGAGAGTGGGTGATGGCCTAGGTGCACCCCACTCCTCTGCCCTGAGACGCTGGGTGGAGGAGAAGCAGGTGTCGTCTTCTACTTGGCCCTGCTGAGTTGAAGGTGCCACTGAGACTCAAGTGAAGACTCCCAGAGTGGTCAGATGGACGCGGAGCTCTCATCTGGAGAGAATTGCATGGGCGTCGATGACGCCAAGATAGTAGGGACACACAGGAGTGGATAAGGGCACCAAGATCCTGAGTTTTCTGTTGCCAACAAGAAAACACTACAGATGGGATGTTTCTTAAAGAAAAGAGCTTCAGGCCGGCGCCGCGGCTCACTAGGCTAATCCTCCGCCTTGCGGCGCCGGCACACCGGCTTCTAGTCCCGGTCGGGGCGCTGGATTCTGTCCCGGTTGCCCCTCTTCCAGGCCAGCCCTCTGCTGTGGCCAGGAAGTACAGTGGAGGATGGCCCAAGTCCTTGGGCCCTGCACCCCATGGGAGACCAGGATAAGTACCTGGCTCCTGCCATCGGGTCAGCATGGTGCGCCGGCTGCGGCAGCCATTGGAGGGTGAACCAACAGCAAAGGAAGACCTTTCTCTCTGTCTCTCTCTCTCACTGTCCACTCTGCCTGTCAAAAAAAAAAGAAAGAAAAAAGAAAAAAGAAAGAAAGAAAAGAAAAGAGCTTCACTTGGGCTTCAGCTCTGGTCCAAGGTTGAGGGGTTGCACCTGGGGATGACTTTCTTGCTGGCAGAGTCCCAAGGTGGTGCAGGGTATCACGTGGTAGAGACCGCATGCTTGTTCCTCTACACTCTGGGCTCTCTCTTCTAATAAAGCCAGCAGGATGCAATCATGGTGGCCCCAGCCCGAGGGCATCATCTAATCTTACCTCCCCAGGCTGCACCTCTCAACACCATCATCAGAGTAAATTTCCACCCTTTCAAAGCCTCACAATGGGGACTGAACTCCAGCACATGAACCTTGTGGAGACACACTCAGACCAAATCCAGGGGCCAGCGATGTGGCGCACCAGGTTAAGCCCCCACCTGTGATGCCAGCGTCCCACGTAAGTACCAGTTCAAGTCCCAGCTGGCTGTTCTACTTCTTATCCAGCTCCCTGCTAACATGCCTGGAAAAGCAGCAGAAGATGGTCTGAGTGCTTGGGCCCCTGCTCACATGTGGGAGACCTGGATGGAGTTCCAGACCCCTGGCTTTGGCCTGGCCCAGCCTGGGCTGTTGTGGCCATTTAAGGAGTAAACCAGAAGACAGATGTCTCTGTCTCTCTCGGTCTCTCTGTCTCTCTCTCTCTGCCTTTCAAATAAACAAATAAATCTTAAAACACACACACATACAAGCAAAGCCAGGGGAGCCAGCGCTGTGGCATGCTTGGCTAAGCCTCCACCTACAGCGCTTACACCCCATACAGGTGTCAGTTCGAGTCCTGGCTGCATCCTCTTCCAATCCAACTCTCTGCTTATGGCCTGGAAATGCAGTGAAAGATGGCCCAAATGCTTGGGCCTTTACACCCATGTGAGAGAACTGGAAGAAGCTCCAGGCTCCTGCCTTTGGCGTGACATAGCCCTGGCCATTGCAGTCATTTGGTGCAATGAACCAGACCTTTCTGTCTGTAACTCTGCCTCAGAGAAAGAAAGAAAACCCTACTCAAACCACAGCAGCAAAGGGAGAGTAGAGAGTGAGTAGAGCCAAAGAGAAGCAAGCCCAGAATGAAGCTATGGAGAACCTAGACAGGAAAAACCAACAAAGGAACTCCTTAAAGAGAGTCCTAGAGAGTCCTGAATGGTGAAAAGTAACACCAGGAGACAGTGCATCCCTGAGGACAAGGGGAGAAACTATCCCAAGAAAGAGAAAATAGTCAAGGCCAGTGTTGTGGTGTAGCAGATAAAGCACCAGCATGCCCTGTGGGCAGGTTCAAGTCCCAGCTCCCTGCTAATGAACCTGGGAAAGCAGTGGAGGATGGTCCAAGTGCTTGGGTCCCTGCACCTGCGTGGGAGACCTGGAAGAAGTTCCTGCTCCTGACTTCCGTCTGACCCAACCCTGGCTGTGGCAGCGATTTGGGTAGTGAAACAGTAGATGGAAAGTATTTATTGGGGCCAGTGTTGTGACGTAGTGGGTAAAGCTGCTGCCTAAGGATGGGAGACCTCAGCATCCCATATGGGCGCCGGTTCAAGTCCTGGCTGCTCCACTTCCAATCCAGATCTCCGCTATGGCCTGGGATAGCAATAGAAGATGGCTCAAGTCCTTGGGCCCCTGCACTCACGGGGGAGACACAGTAGAAGCTCCTGGCTCCTGGTTTCGGATCGGCACAGCTCCGGCTGTTGCAGCCATCTGGGGAGTGAACCAGCAGAAGGATGACCTCTCTCTCTCTCTCTCCCTCTCTCTCTCTCTCTCTCTCTCTCCTCTTATTTATTTCAAATAAATAAACGAAAGCTTGAAAGAGAAAAAGAGTAGTCACGGAACAGATGCCATGTGGAGGCCAGCTAAGACCACAGGTGGGGACCACTCTTGACTCGCACGGGAAATATGAGGTGAAAAAAATGGGATGATAACTGTGGACAATTCTTTCAAGACACTGGGCCCACAGAGAAGCAGTTGACGATAGAGGCTTGAGATGGTAGAACTGAAGTCAGGTTCCTTGGAAAGCAGCGGGGAGGGTGCAGGTAGAGGAAAGAATTACCTCTGAAGTGAGGAAGACACCTCCACCCTGTAACAGGAAGCGGGGTGGGGGGGGCAGGCAGTGCAGAGCAGGCTGGTACAGAGAGACCTGTTGGCAGGAAATTGATACTGTATCCACTGGGTGATTTCTGCTGTCCCTTGGAAGAGTGGATAAGGAGGAGAGAGTGTAAGGAGGTTAGGAGAGACACAAAGACCAGAGAGAGCTGATAAGGGGGCAGTCATGGAGACAAGCCTAAGCACTGGGACTCTGACCATGGAGGCACGGAACAGCTGCGCTGGGCGGAGCTGATCCCACGGGAAGGGGGCTGTGCAGACGGCAGCGCCTGAATGAAGAGGCCTGGAGACAGAGCAGCTCTGGCAAAAGTCAGACTGCGATCAGCAGAGCAAATGACTGCATAGCGGCAGAGAAGCCGCCGTCGGAACCATGAAGTCACGGAACGGAGGAGTCACGGTTCAGGTGAGTCGCCCACAAGGGCACAGCCCTCCATCGGGCGGCAGCAGTGGGGTCAGTCAAGGCAGAAGAAAGAAGACTGCGGGGCAGGCGCTCAAATCATGTGTGAAACAGGGGGAGACGGAGGAGATAGTGGTCCTGGAGCCTCTGGGGGATTCTGATCCTCGCACACGTAGTTCTCAGAGCTTCATGAGCTGGGCAACTGATCATCTTAGGTTTCCTAAATCTTAGAGGGGAATAAATGTAGATCTCTTGGAAAGACTCCCCAGGATAACTGGACTTTCCTAACAAATGAAAGGGGCTACATGTTCCTAAATATATCTTAGGCATTGAAGTCACTTTTACGTCAGAAAAATAAATATCCAAGCATTAACCACACACAGCCCTAGAGTCACTCAAATCAAGAAGTTTGGTGTTTGTTTTGTTTTGTTTTGCCAGGATGAATCATCATTCAATGACACATCCTGCTGGGAACCTCCAGCACATCTCCTAACAGGGACCTCTCCTGTGGCTTCAGGTCCTTGACCTCCTGGGTCTCTCCCATCTCACACCTCACCACTGAGCTCAGTCTCTTTCCTACTTAGCAGAAGGATGGAAAATCAAAATCACCAACAGCAAATGTTCGAAGGCAACTCTCTTCGTGGAAATAGAAGTCCCGAGGAAAACAGCTGTGCAGTATCTAACCTCTTCCTCTGATGAACGGGGCGAGATTACGACCAGTGATTTTCCCAACCCTCATGTCAGCTGAGGCATCACACGTCGAGGATCCTGTGCCATCCTCTAGGGAGGGGACAGAGGCAAAGACGGCCTAAATCCGTCTGCCCAGTGTGGACTGAAGATCAGCCCACGGCTGTTTGTTAGCAGTCTGTAGCAAGATAAGTGCAAGAAGCAAGAGTGTTTAGAGGGGTGAGCAGTGTGGCACAGCGGGTTAAGCTGCCACTTAGGATGCCCTCATCCCACATAGGAGTACCTGAAATGGAGTCCCGCCTCTGTTCCCAGTCCACATTCCTGCTAATGCCACCCTGGGAAGTGCAGGTGGCGGCTCAAGTTACTGACTCCTTGCTACCTCATGGAAGGCCCGGATGCAGCTACTGGCTCCAGCCCTGGTTGCTATGGGCATTTGGGGAGTGAGCCAACAGATGGAAGGTCTCTCTCCATCATTCTCTCCCTCTTTCCCTCTCTCTCTCTCTTTCTCTCTTTCTCCCACTCTGCCTTCCAAATAAACAACAAAAAATTTTTTTTGAAAAAAGTTTTTAGAGGACCTTACAGTAACTTGACAGAATATTTTTGTAATTGATAGACCAATTTAAAATGGAGATTATATTTCATATATCTTTATTATATTTTCACTCATTTTCCTAGTAATTCTCTTTACTATTTTATAAAAATGATGACCCATCACAGATTGAAATTTTTAAAAAAAATCTGGTTCTTTGGGCTGATGCTGTGGCTTAGTAGGTTAAGCCTCTGCCTATGGCATCCAATATGGGCAATGGTTTGAGTCCTGGCTGCTCCATTTACTATTCAGTTCCTGGCTAATGCACCTGGGAAAGCAGGGGAAGATGGCCCAAGTGCTTGGGTCCCTGCACCCATGAGGGAGATCTAGAAGAAGCTCCTGGATCCTGGCTTTGGATCAGCCCAGCTATGGCCCTTGCAGCCACTTGGGGAGTGAACCAGTGGATGGAAGGCCGCTCTCTCCCTCTCTCTCCTTGTTAACTCTGCCTCTCAAATAAACAAACCCTTTTAAAAAATCTGGTGCCTAGTCAAAGATATTTGAGAAGGGCAAACCTAGGTAGGACTGCCTGATTTGTTCCTAGCCTCACAGAAGCTCTTAGGCTGCAGGAAAGAGCTAGTGAGACACATGTGGGGGGAAAATTTAGACTAACCCTATGTCAGATCTCCACTCTACCACTTACTGTGGACCTGACATAAGCCATCCCACCTTAGTTCCCGACCTGAAGGTGAGAATAATAAGCCTTGCCTTGCAGATCTGAGATGAAGTTTACACGAGGTGCAGTGCTGTGAGCCTGATTCAATATCATCTGGTTGAACCCTACCTAGTGCTCCAGCGAGAATCTCGGGCCACACCAATCCGCCACAGGTGCCCCAGCACGGTGGGCACACCCTGACTAGGACGCCTACCGCAGGAAGGCGGGTGGCAACGGACGTGTCGCCTGGTCTCTGCCAAACCTGAAGAGCCAAGTATCCTTATTAGAAGGAAAATGAGGCCGTCACTGTTGGCTCCCATTCCCCCATTCTCTCATGACAAAGAACCTTGAGATCGCTGGGGTCTAGGGGAGCTGGGAATTCACTGCCTCTCACTTGTCCAGCACTGACTTAGCAAAAAGTTTATGATCTTACCTGGCCAATGAGAAAGGAGGAGGGACCGGAGTCCCTCCAGGAACGAGAGCCTGCTGGGAAATATTCTCATTACTCTTAAGAGCAGGGAAACTGGGCTTTTCCTCTGCCTCTCTGTGTTGTCTACACTTGAAGCCTGGAATTGCTGAAGCCATCCTGGGCTCACTCAACAGAAAACAGGAATAAAGTAGCGGAAAGTCACTGGACCCTGTTGACCTTGTTGACCCCATGAGATGAAGCGGTCCTGGATGAGAATCATCTCAGCACTTTCAGTCTGCGAGATGATCAGCTTCTTTGTGATTACACCACTGTTAATTGGGTTTTCATTTACTCGCAGCCAGAAGTATATACAAAAAAGAGATGTGAGCTATTGGGTTACAAACAGTCCGGCAGCCTCAATCCTGGGGCTTCCCCTACTCCCTGCTTCTGAGCAGCTGAGTCACTTCTGACTCATCCAGCGAACCCCAAATCTTTGAAGGAGCTGGGGAGGCAAGGAGTCCATCCCCTTTCACCAGGACATAACTCCTGGCTTTCAGCAAGTTCCCTGGCCCATCTTCCTCATCGGCTTTAGCTAAGGAAGCCGGAGCTTTACAGAGCTAACTGCGGGCTTGGAGGCTGGGAATAAAAGGCGTGGCGTGCACCTGCCTGGGTCCCCGGCCTCGTCTGCTTCTCCCACAGGTCCTCGCATCACCGTTCATCCCCTGAAGTGGATGCTCCTCTCCAGGCCTCTCCCATCCTCCAAGGGCATTTCCAGCCCCTCCTCTTTGGGAATCCCTCCACCCCAGAGCAAGACCATTCTCTGCACGGCACACATGGCTGCGGGGTGATATTTGGCAAGGCTCTGCCTTCTTTACTGACCCCCCTTGAACTTGACCTTGCCCCTCAAAACCTAACCACTGCACCTTGGAGGGCAGGGATGAGTGCAGCCCTGTGTCCCCAACAGTGCCCAGCACGAAGAAGCATTAAGCAAATGCCCAAGCTCAACCGAAAAATAAACTTCCCCATAGTCATAAAATCACAGGCTGTCACTCCCAAAGGTTCCCTTGTCACACTGTCACCCGTGGCGACCCTGCAGATGGACATCTGGCTCAGACTTCGGTGTTTGCACTGAAGCGCAGCTCATTATTTTGGGTGCCACCAGTTTCATTTCTGCTCAGCTCCTTATTGAAAAGTTCTTTCAATTTTACTATCAACCCCAAATTTCTTTCCCTATGACTTGCTTTCAAATTACAGTTGTGCTTTCGGGAATAAGATAGAATAATAGGGGCTGGAATTGTGGCATAACGGGTTAAGCCACCACCTGCAGTGCCGGCGCCCCATTGGAGCGCTGGTTGGAGTCCCCACCACTCCGCTCCCATTCCAACTCCCTGCTAATGCACCTGGGAAAGCAGTAGAAGCTGATCCAAGTGTTTGGGACCCTGCCACCCATGTAGGAGACCCATATGGAGTTCCTGGCTCCTGGAATCAGCCTGGCTCAGTCCCAGCCATTGCAACCACTTGGGGAATGAATCGACAGATGACAGAGCTCTGTCTGTCTCTCCCTCTCTGTCACTCTGCCTTTCAAATAAATGAATCTTAAAAAAAAAAAAAAAAAAACAGAATAGAATAATATATTCCATTTCCAACATGACAGCCCTGCAAATATTCAAGGTCGCTATTCTAGCCATTCTAATTCTTCATTTCTCCACAATAATTCTTCAGTACTTAGCTTATTCTGTAAAAGGGGTGCTTTCTAGAACATTTTCCATATTTCTTGTATGCACTCCAATTAGCCATATCTCTCTGAAAACGGAGCCATTCATTCAACAAATATGAGCACTTCCTGCACACCAGGCTTGCAACAGAGAATCAAATGAAGAACTTGCAATCCAGGAGGCAGAGATGGGGAACAAAGTGTGTGGAGTCCAGGCATCGCCCAATGCCGAGGCTGCCAATCACACACGGCACATCAGTTTCAGCACACAGACTCCCGCAACGTGGAAGACGAGCCACTGACAAGAGCAGGCTAACTAGGCCAGGAAAGAACTCCCCAGAAGAAAGGACATTTTTGCTGAACCTAAAATCTGAGTTTCAATGAATTAGGCAAAGTAAGAGAGGAACTGTGTGCAGGGAGGAGGAAAGGGAGGGGCAGAGAGAAAGCAGAGGGAAGAAAGAGACATGAGGCTTGTGAGCTGAGCAGGGATCAGAGCAGGCAGTCGCTGGTGGGCCACGTGAGGGAGGCTGACTCACATCCTGGAGAGGCTGGGGATACGCAGCGGCCATACATGACCCTCTTTGCACTGTGGCTGTGATACGAAAAGTGGGTTGGAGGCGACGAAGGCCTCAGGCTGGGAGACCAACTCAGAAGCTGCTACTCTAACCCGAGCCAAAACCGGAACACCAGACAGTGCTCTGAACCGAGGTCGTGGCAACGGGAATGAAGAGTGAATTCCACAGACACACTTGGGAGCTAGTTCAAACGTGGAGTCCATCCGATTCGGTGCCTGGCTGGAGGAGGGCAGGGAAGGATATCTTGGACACGTGTGCAGACGGCGGTGCTGTCTGCTGAGACTGGAAACCTCAGGGGAGACCTAGGTTTTCAAGAGGAAGATGAAGAGCTCCATGTTGGATACACTTAGTTGGGATAAGCTAAGTAGAGGCGCCTAGGGGCCGGCGCTGTGGTGCACTAGGTGAATCCTCCATCTACGGTGCCAGCATCCCATATGGGTGCCGGTTCTAGTCCCGGTTGCTCCTCTTCCAATCCTGCTCTCTGCTGTGGCCCAGGAGGGCAATAGAATATGGCCCAAGTGCTTGGGCCCCTGCACCTGTGTGGGAGACCAGGAAGAAGCTCCTGGCTCCTGGCTTCAGATCGGCGCAGCTGCGGCCGTAGTGGCCATCTGGAGAGTGAACCAACGGAAGGAAGACCTTTCTCTCTGTCTCTCCCTCTCACTGTCTGTAACTCTATCTCTCAAATAAAATAAATAAAAATCTTAAAAAAAAAAAAAAAGTAGAGGCATCTAATTGGATGTCAAGAGACAGTTCCACAAGACTCTGTCATCATCAGGATATAAATGGTAACTGCAGTCTTGGGAGAGGAAATCAGCTCACTCAGCAAAGAACAATAATAATGACGATAATAACAATACATAGAAGGAGAAGACACTTAAACCACCGAGAAACACAGCATTTCATGGCTGGGTTGAGGACGGGCTACCAGCAATGGCGACCAAGAAAGAACAGCCAGAAAGGTAAAAGGAGAAGGGACAGTGTGACGTCCTGGAAGCCACAGGAAGCAGAAAGAGCCGAGCACTGCAGAGATCCCTGACCGTGCCTGCCTAGGCTGTGATGGTCCCCTTCCTTCTCAGGGGGCCTCATGACACCACCACAGTGCAGGGCCCGGCCGCAGCTGCACCACGGTGCTGGCCATACTGAGTGCCGTCGGCTGAACTGTGTCTCCCAGAAGTTACATGCAAGTCTCAACCCCACCCTCACCCCCACCCCACCAGTACCTGCGAATGCAACCTTATTTGGACACAGGGTTTCTGTAGCTGTCATCAAGTCAAAGTGAGGTCATACTGGATTGCGGGTGGGTGCTTGTAACAAGGCAGAAATTTGGATACAGAAGCTGGAACACACAGGAAACACGAGCATGTGCAGGCAGAGGCGGAGGTTGGGGCTGCATCGCCACAGCCAGGGATTGCCAGCGATCCCCAGAAACCAGCAGAGGCAAGAGGACTCAGCCCCTGAGCTTTCTGCTGACTCTGAAGTGGTGGACTTCTAGCCCCCAGGACGGGGAGAGCATCTACTCCTGTTGTTTGAAGCCACCCAGCGTGTGGGGCTCTGCCTCAGCATTGTCCTTGGGGTCACCTAACATCCCAGTCTCCTTGATCTGAACACGACCAAGTTTCCTCATCCTCACCTTGCATTGCACTCCAAAGCTTTTAAATTAAGTTTACTACTTATACCTGCTTTACTCTAGGTACTCTGAAACACTGATCTAGCTTTTCTATTATTTTTATTTATTTGAGAGGCAGAGAAAGACAGCTCCCATCTGCTGGTTCACTCCCCAGATGCCCACGATGCACTGGACTGAAGCTACCGCTGTGAGCCAGGAACTCAATCCAGGTCTCCCATAGCAGAGGCGGCAACCCAATCACTGAGCCATCACTGCTGCCAGACAATCATGAACCAGGGTCATAGGACGTCACATATCGGTCAAGGTTCTTCTCCCAGCTAGACATAATAGACAGTTACGTCTTATCACAAATCGATTACATAAGACCTTCTCCGATGCCTGGTGAAATCCGGATACACCAAGTCTACTGGAAATCCAGATGGGCCAGTCCAATAACCACATGAAACCAGTACCTTGTCTCGACCAGGATGGTCTCAAAGCTGCCCTCTGCACCACGCCGGCCGTGTGCAGAAGTGGCCGTTCGTGTTGAGTGACTCCATTCCTCTGCCCTAGGCAGCGTGCCCTGCCCATGCTGCCTGCTCTGCCTGCACCTTGGCCTTCAGGTCAGAG